GGGGGGGGGGGGGGGGGGGGGGGGGGAGATCCTACTTTGGCTAGGATTGGTGATCAAGGCAGGCGCCCTTAAGGAGGTGACTTAAATTGCTTTTTGTTAAATATATCTTGTATGCCAAACGTGTTTACATTGCCCATGTTCTGTTTAAAGACTAATAACGATCTTTCTGCACTTAAGAAACAGAACAAGGCCGGGCCAGGTGGCTCAGTGGTTGAGCCTTGACCTATGAGCCAGAAGGTCACAGTTGGATTCCCGTGGGGGACATGCAGGAGGCAGCCGGTCAATGATTCTCTCTCATCATTGATGTTTCTCTCTCTCCCTGTTCCTTCTCTGAAATCAATAAAAGTATTTTTTAAAATATATCTTATTGATTTTTCACAGAGAGGAAGAGAGAGGGATAGAGAGTTAGAAACATCGACCAGCTGCCTCTTGCACACCCCCTACCGGGGATGTGCCCGCAACCAAGGTACATGCCCTTGACCAGAATCGAACCCGGGACCTTCCAGTCCGCAGACGGATGCTCTATCCACTGAGCCAAACCGGTTTCGACAATAAAAGTATATTTTTATAAAAGAAACAGAACATGACCAAGAACTCCGGAAGCCTCCTCCCCCAGCTGTCCACTCTCCACATTTCCTCACTTTTCTTTGTAGTTTTACCACCTCCATACACACCCCTATACACTATAGGGTTTCGTTTGCCTGCTTTTGTGTGTTTGCTTTTTGTTAATCCTCACCGAAGAATATTTTTCCCACTGATTTATTAGCGAGATTGGAAGGGAGAGAGGGAGGGAAGAAGGGAAGGAGAGTGGGAGTGAAACCTCGATGTGAGAGAGACACATCAATTGATTGCCTCCCACACCAGACCAGGGTTAGGGATAGAACCTGCAGCTCAGGTATCTGCCGTTGACTGAGAATCCAACCGATGACCTCTCAGAGCATGGGCCGAAGCTCTAACCATTGAGTTATACTGGCCAGGGCTAGTTTGCCTGCTTTTGGAACCTTATGTAAATCCAACTAACTATGTATTTGTCTATGACTTGATATTTTTCTTTTAGCTTTATTGAGGTATAGCTGACAAATAAAATTGTAATATTTAAAGTGTACTATGTGATGGGTTTTTCTTTCCATTCCTCCATTATGCTTCTTCGTTAATCCTCGCCCGAGAATATTTTTTCCATTGATTTTTTTTAGAGAGAGGGAAAGGGAGAGGGAAGAGACAAAAAGAGAGAAACATCAATGTGAAAGAAACACATTCATCAATCGTTTGCCTCCTACACAAGTCCCTATCGGGACTGAGCCTGCAACTGAGGTATGTGGCCTTGACTGGAATCCAACCAGCGACCCTTCAGTCTGCGGGCCGACGCTCTAACCACTTAGCAGAACAGGCTGGGACCATTCATGCTTCTTTTTTCTTTCTTTTGAAAAACTTATTTTTCAATTATAGTTGACATATAATGTTATTTTAGTATCAGGTCTAAACCATAGTGATTAGACATTTATATGCATTGCAAAGTTATCACCTCAATGACTCTAGTACCCATCTGTTATTGTACATAGCTATTACAATATTATTGATTATATTCCCTATGATGTAAATCCCCATGACTTTTTATAACTGACAATTTATACTTCTTAATTCCTTTCACTTTTTTTGCCCATTGCTTCTTCCCCTTCCACCTGCAACCATGAGTTTGTTCTTCCAATATACTAGTCCGAGTTTCTGTTTTGTTCTTTTATTTTGCTTTTTAGATTCCACATATAAGTGAAATCATAAGGTATTTGTCTTTCTCTATCTGATTTACTTCACTTAGCATAATACCCTCTAGGTCCACCCATGTTGTCACAAATAGCAAGATTTCATTTTTTTTAAAGGCCAAGTACATATTTTAAAGGCCATTGTAGCCGAAACCGGTTTGGCTCAGTGAATAGAGCTTCGGCCTGCAGACTGAAGGGTCCCGGGTTCGATTCCGGTCAAGGGCATGTACCTTGGTTGCGGGCACATCCCCAGTAGGGGGTGTGCAAGAGGCAACTGATTGGTGATTCTCTCTCATCAATGTTTCTGACTCTCTATCCCTCTCTCTTCCTCTCTGTGAAAAATCAATAAAATATTTATTTAAAGGCCATTGTACATATGCACCACTTCTTTATTCATTTATCTATTAATGGACACCTATCCATATGTTGGCTTTTGTAAGTAATGCTTTGATGAACAGAGAGAGGCGCATATATCTTTTCAAATCAGTGTTTTTGATTTTTTTCAGGGAAATACCTAAAAGTGGAATTGCTGAGTCACATGATAGCTTTTTAAAAATATTTTGAGGAACCTCCCTACTGTTTTCTATAGTGGCTGTACCAATTTACAGCTCCACCACTGAGCCACCCTGGCCAGGGCCCCTGGGGAGTTCTTTAAAATGCTAATACAACCCCCAGCCAGTTTTCCTCAGTGGTTAGAGTAGGGGTGTCGAACTCAATCAGAGAAGGGGCCAAAATCTAAAATCCAGCCTAAATCGCGGGCCAAATGGTTTACTGAACAGTCATAAACTCTCATTGTGATGGAAACGCAGCGGAGTGCAGTGATGACAGCACGGTGCGGGCCACATTGCAAGGCCTGGCGGGCTGGATTTGGCCCGCGGGCCTTGTGTTTGACATGTGTGGGTTAGAGCATTGGCCCTCAGACGCAATGGTCTCTGGTTGGATTCCTCTAGGGCACATACCTCAGGTGCAGGCTGGATCCCCGGCCCAGGTCAGGATCTAAAAATAATGGGAAAATACCCTTGAGTGAGGATTTTAATATAAATAAATATTCGAATACCAGAGGCCCCCTCCCTATCATAGTGATTAAACAATATGACTGTGGGGGTGGGGTGCAGGCCTGGGCAGTCTGGGCTGAGAACCCCAGGATGCAGTGGACTTGGGAGAATTGCTGGGAGGAATAAAGTCACCTGTTACCAGCTAATGCTGAAGTTTTCCAAAGTGGTTGCACCCAGGCATCTCCCCCAGCACGGGGCAAGGTCCCACTGTCCTCACATCCTCATCAGCACTTGATATGGACCAAATTTTAACTTTTGGTCCTGCTGATGGGTGTGAAGTCGCATCTCAGTGTGGCTTTAATTTGCATTCCTTTCATTACTAACGAGGCTGAGCAGTTGGCGAAATTAATGCTGAAACACAGACTGCGAAGGAGCCAGCCAGGTGAGGATCTGGGGGAAGAGAGACTTAGGGGGCGGGGAGCATGCGGAGCAGGTGCCAAGGCCCTGTGCGGGGCTGGGGCTGAGGTGTGAGGGACAGAAAGGAAGTGGGCGGGGGATCGCTGTGCGCGGGGCGGGCGGAGCGGCTCAGACAGGGTCAGCAGAGGTGAGATCCGGGCGGAGGGCTGCGGGAGGACTTTGGCTTACTCTGGGTGAGCCAGGAACATGGGAGGGGGGCGGAGGGACAGCCTTGGCCTTACTCCCTCCGGCTGCACGTGGGGGAAGAATCATGGCATAGGAGAGAGTGTGCTCTTCCTAATGACGATGAAGAAGATTAATTAATCTTCTTAAAAGATTATAATCTTTTGAGGCTGGCTGTGGAACCTATCCGTTCAAAGGCTGTCTCCTGAATTCTACCCGGGACTCACCCACGAGAACAGGGTGAGAAGGACTGTTTTTGCTCACAGGTGTTACCCCTAGTACCTATGGCCCAGCCTTCATTCTAGGTGCTGAGCGGAGGGACTTACAGGTTTTCACAGTCCTTGATTCACAGGTGGAACCAAGTTAGGCCCCAACCCCTGCCCAGGCCTGGCACAGCCCCACCCACACCGGATCAGTCCGCTCCTCCCGTGGAGCCCAGGGTTAGGTCCTTCAGACACACAGGAACCATGACCTCCAGACAGATGAGGAGACCTGTCCGGGCACCCCATCTCCCTGCTGCTTTCTCCCACCTGCCCAGCGTGATCTGGTTCAGTGAAACCTAAACAGGACCTTCCACAGCTGAAAATCCTTCCTTGGCTCCCCAGTGGCCTCGGGGCAAAGTTCAAACTCCTCCAGACCCGGGAGGCCCAGCAGATCTGACCCCTCCCGGCCTACCCACCCCGCCCCCACCCCTTGGAGCTGCTCTCAGTGGCTCTGTGGTAGTTACTGATTCTTACCTAGGGCCTTTCCCCTCAGTATTTCTGCATTTCTTCTGGGAAACTGCCCTGGATCCCCCTCATCAGATAACCTGCCTCTTCTGGACCGTCACAGTGCCCTGTGGTCACCCCCCCCCACCCCCACCAAAGCACACTTTCCTCTGCATGGTGACAGCCTGTGTACTCCGTCTGTCTCCCCCGGGACGGGGAGCTAGCTAGTAGTCTTCGTTAGAGAGAGCGCGAGCATTTTGTTCAGGGTTCACTCCCCAGCTCCCGGGCCAGGGCCGGGCCCAACCCTGAGCGCTCCGTCCACACTTACTCAGCGAAGGAACGAATGCATTTTTTGCTACATGATGCCAGATAGCTTTGCAAAAAAAAAAAAAAAAAGCTACGTGAGGATGTCCGTTTCCTCGCCTCCTCCCCCGAAATGTGTATTGTTCCTCCTCTGTCCCGGGCTCTTCGCGAAGTGCCAGCCGGCGGAGGAAATTTCCTCCTCTCCCCGATCTGGAGGCCGAGGCGGCCGCGGAACATCAGGTGCCCGGGTTTTCCGCGCGGGCCGCCAGGGGGCGCCAGAGGCGGCCGGCCGTGCGGCGCGGAGCTGGCCAGGACGCGGGGTCCGGAAAGGGGTCCCGCCGCGCCGGGGGGAATCCCTGCGCCCCGCGCCCCGCCCCCCGGGAGCTCGCCGGCCGCCGCGCGGTCCGCTCGGCTCCGACCCCGCGACGTTGGACCGGCCCCCGCCCGGCTTCCAGCGCCACGCGGCGCGAGCCCCACCAGCCCCTCGCGCACCTGCTTGGGGCGTGGCCTCCGGCGCAAGGCGCTCCCCGATTGGCGCCGAGGTGACAAAAGGGGCGGGGACTTAGATGGCCCCGCCCCTCGGTCCGGAGTACTTAAAGGAGTTGGCGGCTCCGCTCCGCGCACAGCGCAGCGGCTCGGCCTCGCGGGAGTGGGTCCTTGCGACGCCTGCACAGCCCGGCGACCCCGGCCAGCCCCGGCCACCATGCCGCGCTCCTTCCTCGTCAGGAAGTCCGCCTGCCCCCGCCGGAGGCCCAACTACAGCGAGCTGCACGACTCCTCTCCAGGTGAGCGGGAGCGGGGACCCCGCTGGGGAGGGTTCGGGGGGTGTTTCAGGGGAGCGGACACCGGGAAGAGGACCAGGAGCCATGGGCGAGGCGGAGGAGGCAGCGCGGGGCGAGGCGGGGAGAGGGGCGCGGAGCCGCGGCAGGTGGATCCGGCGGTTGGGGGAGGAGGGCTTCCAGAGGGCGGCGGGCTGGGTGGGAGGGCTGGCGGGTCCCAGCTGCCGAGGAGCAGAGGGAGCCCGCGAGGGAGAAGGGAGAGTGGGGGTTCCCTCTTAGGGAGAGAGCCTGGCCAGGGGCTGGGAAGAGCCCGGAATCCACAGGGTTTGGGGGATAAAAGGGAGGCGGGGGTGGGGGGAGAAAAGATGTGCATGGGGAGAGGGAGTGGGGCATGGGTGGTGCCTCAGCCGGGGTGATTGGGGTGCTGGGGTCTTGCCTCCCTTAGGCTGAGGACTCGGGGAATTCCAGAGGGAATTACCGCCCTGAGTTGGGGTTGGGAAAGGGGGGGATCCTTTTTTAAGATGTGGAGGCTGAGGTGGGAGAACCAGGACTTGGGTTGAGGGGTGGCCTTTTGAGGCAGGAACCTAACCTATTAAGTGTCAGCCCCATTCTACCCCAGGCGAGTGTTTGTTGACTGACTGACCCGACTGATCTTTTTCTCGTTCTCTTCTCAGAGTTCACCTTCCAGCAGCCCTACGACCAGGCCCACCTGCTGGCGGCCATCCCGCCTCCCGAGGTCCTCAACCCCACGGCCTCGCTGCCCACGCTCATCTGGGACTCTCTCCTGGCACCACAAGCCCAGCCAATTGGCTGGCCCTCCCTTCTGCCCCCGGAGGTCCCCAAGGCGGTGGAGCTGACCTCCCTGTCGGACGAGGACAGCGGGAAGGGCTCCCAGCCTCCCAGCCCGCCCTCGCCGGCTCCTTCCTCCTTCTCTTCCACCTCAGCCTCTTCCTTGGAGGCCGAAGGCTATGCCGCCTTCCCAGGCTTGGGCCCGCTGCCCAAGCAGCTGTCTGGGCTCGCAGGGGCCAAGGACCCCCAGTCCCGCAAGGCCTTCAACTGCAAATACTGCAACAAGGAATACGTCAGCCTGGGCGCCCTCAAGATGCACATCCGAAGCCACACCCTGCCCTGCGTCTGCGGCACCTGCGGGAAGGCCTTCTCCAGGCCCTGGCTGCTCCAGGGCCACGTCCGGACCCACACCGGTGAGTGCCCCTCCCTGCCCGCTGGCTGCCCTTCTCCCTCCTCCCTCGGCCTTCTTCTTTCCCAGCTCTGGGCCTACTGTCCGTTTCAGATTGTAGACACTGAGTCCTATGGCTTCCAGCTCAAGTGCTCAGGGGCCTGGCTCTCTGAAACGTTTGGCAGGAAAATGTATTCATTCACCAGCTAAGCAGACAGGTCGAGGGGCTAACTTGACAAGTACCTCTGCATTCTCAGCTTCTCAGCCAAATGGGTAAGAGCTGGATGCGGGGAAGGTGCAACCAACACTTTGCTGTTGGAACCAGGTGTGAAGGGGCCCTCCCGCTCCACCCTCTACCCCCCCCCCCCCAGCCGGACAGGATGTCGTTAGAGGCCCCCCAGCTGGCTCTGAATGCCACGTGGAGAACTTTCTCAAACCTTGGGCTGCTGATGTGTCACTCTGAGCCTCAGTTTTCTCCAAATCTGTTAATTGAGCATGAGATACCTGGGATGGGGGGAGGAGGGGAAGACAGGATTCTGTGTGGGTTAAAGGAAAGAAAGAATACAGAAAGCACCTGAAAAGTGTTTGGTGCATGATCACCATGCACAAAAATGGGTGGTTGGTATTTGTTCTGCTTCCATGCTGTGTGGCCTTAAGCAGGTGCTTTAACCTCTCTGAACCTCAAGAGTATGATTGGATAATCACGTAGGGTGGGTTACGAGGGTGTTTTATAAAGTGGCTCTTTAATCACTTTATAATAAAGTTATCCGGGTGGCTCTCCCCACCCACACCTGGGAGGAGATAAACTCGATCCTGTTATGCAGACCCCGAAATACCTTTGCTGGCAGAGGACACGATTATGTCTTAACATTTCAAAAACATAATGTGTAGAAACTTGTGAAATGGAGCCTTTCCCGTCCTTTAACCTTCTTGAAATGGGCAAAAGGTAGCCACTTTTTGAATGACGGTGGCTACCGAGTTTGGGGCTGCTCTTTGGGGAGTGACTGTTGAGAGAAGGTTCAAGGGTCATAGTATCAGCTTCGGGGTCAAACTGTCTGGTTGGGGACTGGGTTCCGGCATTTCCTGGCCCAGGCAGGGGCTGACCGCTGAGCCATGAGGGTCAGTGGGGTAGCTTGTGAGTAATGCGTTTGCAGGCACTGCTGGTGTCATTAGCACAGAAAGGGCCCCTGGCATTCTCCCCAGCCTGAAGATGTGGCTGCCCATTTCTCTTCCTCTGTGCACAAATGGTCCCGATTTTAACATGTACAAGTCCGACTCCCTGGCCTCTGTCCTGGGTGCCTGCCAGCTGCTGGGGCTCTGTCTGAGGTGAGGGGAGCCACCGCGGCCCTCCTCTCCTCTCATGAGACATCATCTCATGTAAAGGCATGGCTCAGACACAGAGAGCTTGTTGAAAGTCACCATGGCCATTCTCATTGACACCCATTGTGTGCCTAATGGTGGCTCTGGTGGGTGGGGCCGGCGGGGAAGAGCAGGTGCACAGGGCATCGGTGCCCAGCACCTGTTCTGGGCCGCAGCTGCCGGCCCACAGCGTGTCAGGCCCCTTTAATCCGGGGAGTATCGCATGTACAGTGTCCCCCTTGGCGGCCTTTGTCCCTGCCGGCCTGGTGCTGATTTCACACTCGCCGGGAGCACCATAAAGGCGTCTGGGGGCGGGGGATCAGTGAGGGGTGGGGGTCTGTGCCTCCTGCTTGCACACAAACCTCCACCGCATCATGTCCTCCACGGCCTCCTTCCCCTTTGTTCAGGCTTATGTCTAGTCCACTTAGCGTTAAAGTGGTTTTCACTGAGCTCTTGCTGTGTGGAAGTCAGTGCGCGGGGCTTCCTTCGCTGGTGTTAACACAGTAATCCCATCAATAACCTTAGGAGGGAGGTGCCATAATCCCCACCTTACAGATGAGGAAACTGAGGCACAGAGAAGGAAGTTACAGCTCATAAGACTGGAGACTGGGCTGCTTTACCTCCCCCGGGGGCTGGAGGGAAGTGGCTTTCTGTGGCGAGGGAGGGGGGGGCACAGAGCTCCATCTCGTTCGCCAGGTTTGCTTTACCTTTGTTCACCAGCGAGTGTGTGGATGAGGAAGAACTTCCCTTAGACCTTGTAGAATGCACTCATCAAACTCTTCAGGCCTGGTATACAGAGGGTGCTCAATAATGGCAGAGCAAATTACTTCCCTTTCCCAGTTCTCTGGCTAGGCAGCCCCTTTCTGCCTCCGGAGACAGCCTTTGAATGGAGAGTTCCACAGCCAGCCTCGGGCATCTGACTTCTGGACCCCTTCTTCCCAGTGCCCCGCACACTGCCCCAGCACACAGTAGGCTGATGCAATTCATTCATTCCCTGCTGTTCTGGAATTCCAGCACTGGGATTTAACTAGTGGGCCGTGGCCTAGGGGCTTATCAGTGGGAGGGAGGAGAATGGCATTTTATTTATTTATTTTTGTTTCTTTTCTTTTTTTTCTTCTTCTTGAGAATTGTATTTTTATTTTATTTTTTTTTGGAAAAGAATATTCAGTGTCATAAAATAGTGCCCAGCACATAGTGGGAGCTTCATAAGTATTTATGTGATAAGTTACTATTCCAACTTTTTATCTGGGAAATGCTGGAAAAAAATAAAACATAAGACTGTCGTAACATCCTCTCGGTTGCGGCAGGAGTTATGACAAAGGCGATCAGATGGTGATTGATAAGTCAGGGTCTTCTGAGGTCTTCACAAAGTTTATTCGTGGTCCAAGGGCTTACTGAACACTTCTGTGTAGAGAATAAGACTTCCCCAAACCAGCTCATCCAGGCCGGTGGCGTGCGGCTCCCAGGTGGGGAGCCTTTTAAACCCCAAGGGACCAGCGTTCTGTAGCCTCCTGGCGGGGCAGACCAGGAGACTTGAAATTACTCTTGAGTGTGAGGAGCTTCAGTTTGGCCCCGAGCGGTGGCCCAATCTGCCGGGGTGGGCGGGGGCTGAGGGAGCCTCTAAGGCTGAGACTTCTTGCTCCATCCCCAGAAGAAGCAAATTCAGGAGACAGAGCAAGGAGCACCCTCCACAGCCTCCTTACCCGGGAGGCAGGCAGTGGAGCGGCCAAAACCAAGCACTCAGTCAGGCGGCCGGGTTCCTGCGGGCTGGTCCTGCGTGCGCTACTTAGCTTCTCTGGGCCTCAGTTTCATCCTCTGAACGGAGGAAGGAGGATGAAGTGAGAAGTGTTTTCACACGGTCCCTGGCTCAGTGTCCAGCGAACGCAGTCGCCGTCCTTGTCCGCGGAGCACTTCCTGCCAGCACTGTGTGGATGACCGCACTATCCTACATTCGCTGGCACCAGCCAGCCCCCTGTGCGTGGGGGTGAACACACATTTCACATGTGAGCCCTCGGAGGCCCAGAGGAGCCAGCGGACTTGCTCCAGGTCACAGGGTGGGAAGCAGCAGAGCTCCCAATCAAAACCAGGCCTGCGGACAGGGGTGGCCTGGTTTTTCTGGGTCATGGGGCTCCCTCAGCGTGAGGGTGGGCAGGGCTCTGAAGGCTGGGGTGGGTGGGGAGGGACCTTGATAAATGCCAGCTGTTGTCCCAGAGAACGATCAGTCCCCTGACTGCCTCCTGCTTTCTCTCCCCAGGGGAGAAGCCCTTCTCCTGCTCCCACTGCAGCCGCGCCTTTGCCGACCGCTCCAACCTGCGGGCCCACCTCCAGACCCACTCCGACGTCAAGAAGTACCAGTGCAAGACGTGCTCCCGCACCTTCTCCCGCATGTCCCTGCTCCACAAACACCAGGAGTCAGGCTGCTCCGGGGGCCCCCGCTGACCCCCGCGGCCGCCTCTGCCTCTCCAGGGCCTCCCCCACCTCTGGAAGGAAGGACCCTGCATCCTCCTCCCCGCCGCGGAATTCCCCTCTGCGCTCCCATCCGGCTGCGTTAGCATCAGGGGCGCCGAGGACCGTTTTCCAGTGTGTCTGCTCGGGGCCTCGGTTGGCTCTGTGGACGCTGAGGGGAGGGTGGCCCCTTCTGGCAGCCACCGCTCCCCAGCGACGTTCTGGAGCTGGCCTTGATGTGTGTGTGTGGGCTTGTGTATCCTAAACTGTCTGGATACAGCTGCTTTGAGCTACAGGACAAAAGCCAACAGACTGATAGAGGCTCCCACCCCACTCAGGGGACCCCACTCCTCCCCACCCCAGAACCCTCAGGCCACCTCACCAGGAGGTGTGAGTAACTAGCCTTCCACCCCCGGGGCGGGCTCTGACACAAGGCCATGTCTAGACCCCAGGATGCCCCAGGCCCGGGCAGCTATTTCAGCCTCCTGTTTGTCATGGTGGCACCTGTTTCACGGGCAATTTAACAGCGTCTCAAAAGGGAATGTGAGTAATTGCCTTCACTTGTCGGGGGCCCAAATAGGGTGCTTCGGCCCAACCAATGTGTCTCCCGGAACTATTTTCAGGGACCCAACAGGTGGGCCCAGGAGGAAGATGTTTACATTTTTTTAAAGGTACACTGGTATTTATATTGCAAGCAACATTTTGTACTAAGAAAACATTTTGTATAGTTATTATGTACAGTTTATTGATATTCAATAAAGCGGTTAATTTATACGTAAGAAAGTCTTGGTGTTCTAGGGGAGTGGGTATTTCACAGGCCCTTTAGGGAGGCGGGGAGGGGAGTGGAGGGGTGGGTGGAGCTCAGAGAGAACTGACGCAGCCTTCACTCTTGTCCTCTTACCGTCATGTGACTGGCTCCTGGGTTTGACAGGGACCTTGTTTGTGCAAACGGGCTTTCCTGTGAGCCTGTGTCCTGTGATGTGGAGGTGGGGAAGCACCTGTGGCTGGGCGTGGAGGTGGGGGAGGGGTTTGTCACAATGTGGGGGGAGGTGGTGTGTGGGGGCTCCTGCACTCTACATGTGGCGCTTACTCTGTTGACCGTTTTGAAGCTGACCAGGCCCACAGGCTGCGAAGCTGGCTCCCTGGGTCTTATCAACTCGACAGGCTGGGGGCTGCCTTTGGGAGAGGGCCTGGCGGCTGCTCCCAGCTGACGAGTGGAATGCCACGAGCGAGAAGGGGACAGAGGATGTCCTTCCTGTTTCCAAGGGCTCCGGGCCCTGCTGGCCTCCCTGTTGGACCCACACCTCTTGTCTGGCCGCTGGGTACCAAATGGCCTTTGATGCGAGGAAATTGTCTGGCTGGAGCCAGGAGGGTGAGAAGCCGGGCCAAAGGGTAGGGGTCATTCAGCTTCCTGCTCCAGGACAGGACGGGAAGACAGTCAGCTTGCCTCCTGGGCTGGGATAATTCACTCCTGGCTGGCAGGCGGTGGTGGTGACCTCACCTCGGGGCCCTCCTGGGGCCAGGAGAAAATGAGTGTCCCTTCTGAGCACAAAAGGTGCTGAAGGTGCCAGTTTCCTGCGGGGAGCTGAGCAGGCGTGCAGGCGGCCCGGAGCGCGGAGCCCTGGAGTCAGGCTGGGGGTGGGGGCAGCCTCATGTTCCAAAGGAGAGATGATTCTTTCTTCTAAACAGGAAATGGTGACCCGCAGGCCGGGAGCAGCCCTTAATGACTTGCAGCTTTCCTCCCAAAAGAAAAAAAAAAAAGTTCTCTAACAATCGCCAAATTGTAGCCGGCCTCCCTGAAGGGAAGTTAGAGAGTCGGGGGGAAGTTAGAGAGTCGGGGGCCTGCGGGGCTGGGCATCCATTTGCTGAAGGCCTACTGTGTCCCAAGACCCCAGGCTGCCACTTACAGCCACCACACAGTAGGTGCTGACATGGAAGGAGAATGAATACATGACTTCACTCCAAGGGCTGGGCCTGGTGGAAAACCCGGCTGGCATGTAAGGCTGGGTCTGTCCTGGGGGCCAGGGGTGCCTGGAGCAAGGACCCTCAGTTTCTGCTTCTATAACATGGGGTGATGGTGGTGCCTCCCTCGGGTTTAATGAGCTGTGTGGGTGTGCCAGGTCCTGTCCTGGGCCCCGGGGGTACAGCCGCGGACAGATGGACAGTCCCTGCACTCACGGAACTTGGGTTCTAGCTGGGAGACAGAAAACAAACAAATGGTTAAATAAACAAGCCGTTTTCCTACGGTGACGGTGCCAAGCTGGAATTAAAGTGAGCACGTGCTAGAGAGCCTGGGTGGGGCTCCCGCAGATAAGGCAGGCCCGGAGCCGGAGAGGGAGCGGAGAGGGAGCTGGAGAGGGAGCGGAGAGGGAGCGGAGAAGGGCTGACATTCCAGTGGAAACCTGAAGGAGGAGAAAGTTCCAGTCCAGGGAGGGTGCAGCAAGGGCAAAGGCTGAGGCTGGGAGAAGAGCCGCCCCCACCCACCCCAAGAAAGACCAGGGCCTGGGGGCTGGGGAGGCAGGTGGGACTGGCAGGCCTGCCAGAGGCTGCAGAGCCTGTGGGGTTGGGGTCATAGTGCAGCCAAGAGGCAGCCACTGGGGCTTTATATATATATAATTGATTTCGGAGAGAGAGAGAGAATAAAAGAAACATCAATGAGAGAGAATCATTGATCAGCTGCTTTCTGCATGCCCCACACTGGGGATCGAGCCTGCAATCCAGACCTGTGCCCTGACTGGTAATCAAATAGTGACATCCTGGTTTATAAGTTGATGCTCAGTCACTGAGCCATGCTGGGCAGGCAGCATGTATACCTTAAGGACAAGGACATTCATGTAACCATAGTCAATAATCAAAATCAGAAAGTTTAGCATTGGTGCGATGCTATGTCTAATCCATAATCATGGGTTATGGTGAGTTTTCCAACGGCCCCAGGGATGCCTCCACAGTCCTTGGGAGGGTGGCGTGGGGAGAGACAGCAACACTTTTTTTGGTTCTTCTTCTTCTTAACACATTTTTATTGATTTCAGAGAGGGAAGGAGAGGGAGGGAGAGATAGAAACATCAATGATGAGAAAGATTCATGGATCAGCTGCCGCCTGCATGCCTCCTTCTGGGGATCAAGCCTGCAACCGGGCTTGTGCCCAGGACTCTTCAGTCTGCAGGCCGACGCTCTATCCACTGAGCCAAACCAGCCAGGGCTTTTCTCGGTCTTTGTGACTTGAACATTTTTTAAGATTTCAGGCCAGCCGTTTGTAGGATGTCCCCCAAACTGGACTTTCCCAGTGCTTTCTCGAGATTGCTGTGAGTTTGGGCTGTGCACCTGGGGCCGGATCCTTAGTGCAAGGTGTCCCGAGGCACAGGAGGTCAGTTTGGACATCTCTGCTGAGGCCAACGCGGACCACTTGGTTAAAGTGGTGCATGCCAGGTTTTGCCTGGGTAACGTTCCTCTTTCCCCCCGTTTGTGGGGAGACATGCTGAGACCATGTGAATGTCCCCATTATTCCTCCAACCTCCACCACGAGTTTTAGCCCTCACTGGTGATTTTTGCCTAAGCCAGTTATTGCTGTGGTGGCTGCCAAATGGCGACTTTCTGTTTGCACTGGTTGGCTTTCTACTCCTCTGAGCTTTCCCTCTGTCCTCCCCAGGGCTGAGGGGGTGGGAGAAGTGGGACGGGGAGCCACAGGGTCGGGATGGGTGGGGGAGGGGGACGGGGGCAGGAATCCTCCCCTGGGCTTTTCTTTAAAGCGAGCCCAGAAAATAAATTGGCTGTAAAGCTGCTCGCCATGCAAGTGTCCGGGCAGGCAGGTCTGGGGCCAGGGCCACCTCTGGGCACATCTGGGCCCCATTAGGGGGATGTCTCTCGAGCTGGGATGGGTGGAACTCTGGTGGGCAGGGGTTTGATCCTCCTAGCTCCTTTTCGCTTCCAAACAGTCAATTTCACACACACTTTATGTGAATTGATTTTTTTTTTTTCATTTAAAAAGCGTGAAAAGATTAGATCTGAGGCACACGTGCCATGTGATCAACACACCCATCTGGGTGCCTTTACTGCCCCCGGCGTGATGCTGTGACTATCTTTTTGGATTAGAGAAAATAAACATGTGTATGTATATGCACACGTGGCTCTAATCTCACTCCCAGGAAAGGCCAAAGCTCTCACCTTGGCCCTCAGGTGCCTCACCTCTGCCTCTTCCCTCTCCCATCCCCTTCCCTCCCTCCAGCCCTGGGCCTTCTGCCACCTCAGGGCCTTTGCACTTACTGTCCTCCTGCCGGGAGGCCGGGCCTCCAGAAAGAGGCCTTTTGGCTGGCTCCCCCCTCCCGTGCATTCCAGTGCCGCCCCTGTTTTTCTCCATAGCACTTGTCACCGTCAACAAACCGTCTATTTCACCGCTCACAGCTTCTCCGCCGCCCGGCTCCCCCGCCAGCATGTCAGCTTCATGCGGGTGGAATTTCGTCTGCGTTACTCACTGCCAGGTCCCTGGTGCCTCCCATCCTGAGCACAGGAGGCGTGCCCTCAGCAAAGCCTGCCGCACGGAGGACGGACGCACGTGTGTGTGAGCCCAGGAAACGCCTTCGGGAGCACCTTCTCTGCGAGATGAGCTCGTCACACCTTCACAGCGGACTCCAGAAAGAGGAAACCGAGACACAGAGAGGTCAAACCACTTGCCCAGGGTCACACGGCAAGTAAGTGGCAGCGCTGGGATTTGAATCCTGAGTTCTTTTATGACTGCTGTCATTTTGTGAGGTTTTTTCCTACCTTCGCAGTGGGTGTAATTAAAACTTTTAAAACTGAAGTCCACAAAGTCTGTGTCTTGAACGACGGCACTTGCTCGCCTCTACACTCTCACAGAGCAGGGCCTGTGCTGTCCTCTAACCAGTCTTCCGGAACCCCACTCACCCTTCCCCGGCCAGGTGGGCAGCCGGAGGTGTGTGTGGACATGGGGTGGGGGGGCCCGGGAGGAACGGGGTGTGTGTGGGGGGTATCCTGTGTGGTCCCTGCAGCCCAGGAGAGGCTCCGTGAGGGCGGGACCACCCACCTGGCAGGACTGCCCGGCTGCCCAGCCCGGGCCTTGCTGGGTGACCACAGCGGGGTCGTGTATTCGTTTCCTGGGCTTGCCATAAAAAATCCCCACACGTTGGGTGGCTTAACACAACAGGAGCTGATTCACAGTTCTGGAGACGGGACGTCTGGGACCGAGGGCTAGCGGGCTGTGCTCCCCACAGCCTCTCGGCCGCATCCCGGCGAGCCCCCTCCCGCGGCCCCGGCGTCCGGTGCACCGCGGTGGCGTTTGCTGTCTGCCTCCCTCTGCGCCGGGCCTTCTGCGTCCGATTCCTCCCTGTTCGTTCTTCTTCTTATAAGGACACCAGTGACTGGATCCGGGCCCACCCGAACCCGGTCTGACCTCATCTTCACCCGATTGTATCTACAGAGACCCTGCTTCCAAATAAGGTCACGTTCACATGTGTTGGAAGTCGGGACTTAAACACGTCTTTTTGGGGGACAAATTCAACCCACCACAGGTGGCTACGGCCAAGGGCGCCCCAAGTCTTCCTCGGGGCCCCTGAATGCATCCCGGAGCTTTGTATCATTCACCTGCCAGACCCTGAGGAGAGTGGGAAAGCCAGTCAGGACAGTGGCCAGAGGAGGAGGAGCAAGAGGAGCAGGAGGAGGAGGAGTTGAATCTTGCCCCTGTGATTCCTGGAAGAAAGAGGGCCGAAGGCAAAAGCTCCTCTGACCCCTGACCTCAGCAGGCCCTGTGTGAGCAGGCCTGGAGACG